CTCACATATATTTTTACCATAGAAAGACATTTCTCTTCAATTTTTTTAAACATTTTGGTTTTTTGTATAATTGCTGGATTAAGGCCTTCTTTTAACATTATATCTTAGGAAGTCTTTTGCTAATTTTAGCTTAAGTTTAGCCTTGTGCTATTTATAGCAATTAGCTAGTTTAAGGTCTTAGCTACCAATTTATTACCGTAGATTTTAGTCTGCATTTTGCTACTTTTAGCTAGAGTTGTGCATCCTTTAGTTTTAACAAGTCAGTTTCAGCTGTTATTCAGAGCTCAACTGAAACTCTGTATTTTATAAAAACTTTAACCTTCTCTTCTGAAAACACAAAGCAGAGATATAAAAGCCGTGTGTGTTTAAGGAAACGTTTTTTTGTGGAGACCATTATTAAAAAGAGGCAGTCGGGCATTTTTGACTCAGGCTCATGAGTTTAACTCCCACCTGAGAGGAGGTCTGAGCGTCGTCAGACGAGGAAAAACAAGCTAAAACTTGCTCTCATTCTCTTCCTCAAAAAAGCAACAAAACAAGAACAAACCTGCTGCATTTCATCCTTACAGTATTTTATTCAAACTGGGACTTTTTACTCAAAAACTACAGATTTCTGCTCTGTTACAAAACAGTGATTTTAGTATTTTTACAGCTTATTGTGGGGAAAAACTAAATAAATAAAAAACACTCCGATAATTGAATGACTCAAACGTCATATTTACATGAATAATCAATTTTGTGTTGAAGAACTAAGAGCTGGGGTTTAGTAAGAATGTGGCAAAGCTGCTGCAGATCTGCAGGTTTTCTTCTGAGTCACAGCCGCTTCTAGTTTTTTAGTTTTTGAAGATGTGAGGTTTAGACAGGATTAAAATTAGGTTTACAGGTGGTTTAGAGGAAATCCTGTTGTTTACCAAAGCATTTATGGTTTAGTCTGACGTGAACCGCGACAAACTCTTGATTCTGTGTCCAAAACGACTCATCYAGTCCAAAAAACAAGGTTTTAAAAAGCAACAAAAACCCTGTCATTGTTCTGCAGATTTCTGAACACACAGAAAATACAGGACCTCACCTTTCAGAACCACCCTGAGCTCGGTCCGAGCTTGTGTTCCTTTCACGTCCGGCGGGTTCTTCACGTCACAGAAGAAGGTCCCGTTGTCGCTGAACTGGGCCGGGTTCAGCTGGATGGACACGTCCTTCTTGTTGATGTCCCCGATGAATTCGACCCGGTCTTTGAACTCATCCTGACCCGGGAACCCCTTACCGTTGGAAAAATGGTAAATCTAGAAAGAAAAGAAAATAAAAAATGAGTGCAAATCACCACGGTGCATAAAGTAAACAAGCAGGACCAGAACCAAGAAACCAGTCAGAAACACCAGTTTGCAAGATCAGTGTGTATATTTAAGACAATGACACAGGTAAATTTGTTGGAGAAATATGTAAATGTATAATGTATGAATTGTTGCTCAAGGAGTTAAACC